AAAAAAAAAAAAAAAAAAGATGCATTACTGATATTTCTGTATCCTAACCTAGCCTATCATACCATCAAGGGTCCCAGTAGAAAATACACTACACACTCAAAATGCGTAATTTGAGGGTAGTGTAAAGAAAGAACTATTTACAAAGGTATATAGAGAGTTTAGGGGAACAAACCAGGATGGTACAGTACCCTCTGGGCTGTGATACCAGGAAGCTGTTACCATCTCCAGGCCTGAAGTGGAAACTGGAGAAAGCACCCACCAGAACCCAGTGACAGTAGCTGTGTGGTAAGAGTTGTCAACAGGTGCAGGCCTGCACCTTCAGTGGGGAGGCACAGCCTCTCCCTGGCAGCCAGCAAAGGAGTGCTGCAAACTCAGTGTCCTGACATCCCTCTGGCTCTGTCTGACTGAAACTTGTGGGTGCCATGAACATGGGAAAGAGGGTAGAGAGTGGATCCATGGGCCTAGCACACTAGTTTAGATGGCCTTGAATCTCTAGTCTACTTTGGTTAGGAAAAAATGTCCAGTTGTGACTCACTAAATTAAAAGGTTCTTTTATCAGTTTGAATAACACTAAGATGATCTTCAGCCTTTTGGCTGTAGCCTGAGTCTGTTCGGGCCTTGGTGAGCATGTGACGAGAGGGTCACTGTTCAGTAGAAACACAAACAAAACTTTTCTAAGCCCCCTTGGTTGAAGAGCCATTTCTGCTCCCTTTTGTTGGCCTGCCCATATAGCCTTGGGGCCCCCTGACTGAAGGCATGGCAAGAGGTGAGGTGTCACTCTTCTCTTTCTTTGCAGGTCATCTGCCAGGTGTCCCTGCCCCAGGCTGCTGATGTTGACAAGGCAGTGGCTGCCGCAAAGGACGCCTTTGAGAATGGGTTGTGGGGAAAGATTAATGCACGGGACCGGGGACAGCTTCTATACAAGTAAGAGCCCAACATTCCCCCTATCAGCTCTCTCCTCTTTCAGCTTGATGTGAGGCTGGAGATGGTCAGGAAGGTCCAGGGCTGCCTAACAGACCAGCAGGGAATTTCCAGCTAAGGATTGACTCTGACTGGAAGATCATAAACAAAGGAGGGATTTCACCAGACAGGGTGGTAGGGGGAGGCAGTCCAGTGGAGGGCTTAGCCTGAGTGAAGAAGACAGGAAGTGCAAAAGTGAGGGTGGGCAGTTAACACAGCTCCTATGTGCAAACCCAGTCAGACAGAGCTGCTTAACCTAGGACAGGGGGCATGGAATCTTCTGTAACAGAAACAGGGAGGGCAGGGATGGAGTTGGTCCCAGGATCACCAAATCTGTCTCTTGTCTCCTGTTTCTCTGCTTGTCATTGTTCAAAGCTCTTTTCATATAGGTGAAAGTGAGGTTGCTGAAGCTTCTGATCTCACATTTTCCTTTTATTTTTTTCTTTTTCATAACTAGGGAGGTAGGACCTGAATTCCTTAGTTTCAGTTTGACAGTCCTTGGGAAGGATTTGTGATTGCACTAGCTCAGTCCCACAAGGTAGGAGTGTGGCTCAGAAGAGAAATGCTGTTCCCCTACAACCACATGGTTACAATGAGCTAGGGAGCAGTTGCCCAAAGAGGCAGAGTGATGTATCCAAAAGAAGGGAGAGCCCCATGAACAGTTTAGAAAACTGGAATTTTATCCTGTGGCTCATGGGGAATATAGAATGCTAGAGCCAGGTTGTGATGTGTCAGAGTATGCTTGTCATCTGGAGAGAGAAGGCCTGCTTCTCCCTTGCAGTCAGAGTGGCTTTTCTTTCTATTCCAGAACATGAGCAGAAACACAAGGGCAGCTCCAGAAGCAGACCCAGAGAGAGGTCTACACATTTTTACAAGAATGAAAGATCATAGGGCCTGGGTCACATCAGAGCTTGGAGCTCTGGCTTACCCAGCCTGTTGTAGTTCAAATTTGATTCAAGATCCATAAGAGAATGCAGCAATTTAGAATACCTCAGAACTTCTGGATCTGTGGGCCACCCTATAGTCAAGATTGGGGTCCTTGCAGGCCCTGGGGTAGTAACTCATATGGTAGACTTTGTGCTGCTCCAGAAGAGTGATCTTTTTTGGATTAGAAAAGGCATCCTTTCCTCAAGATGCTATGCTGCCATCTGATGGACTATGTCATAATAACTACTAACCTTCAATGGTAAAGAGGGCATGACATCCCTGCACAGCTGTCATGGGGACCTCTACTGGGTGAATGTCTCAAGACCCAGAGGAGATTACCCTAGTGACTCAGGCCTGCCCTGATACATTCCCCATCTGCTCAGATGAGGTAGGCCCATCCTTGGCTCTGTATTGGCTCGGCAAGAGCAGCTGCGCAGAGTTGCAAGGGAAGGAAAAGGACAGGGAGTAGAATATTTGGGAGCATCTGTCAGTTTGTCATAAAGAGCTCTGGTGGCATAGTAGGTAAGGCACTTGGCTGCTAACCAGAAGGTCAGCAGCTCAAACCCACCAGCCACTGCACAGAAGAAAGATGGGGAGATCTACTTCCATAAAGATTTACAGCCTCAGAAACCAGAGTCATGATGAGTCAGAATTGACTCAACGGCAGTGAGTTTGGTTTGGAGTGTTGGGTCAGTTTGTCATACTGCAGTGCTGTGTATGTTGCTGTGATACTGGAAGCTATGCCACCAGTATTTCAAATACCAGCAGGGTCACCTATGGTGGACAGGTTTTAGCAGAGTTTCTAGAATAAGACAGAATATGAAAAAGGACATGACAGTCTACTTCTGGAAGAACTGACCCCTGAAAACTTCATGAATAGCAGTGAAATATTGTCTGATATAGTATAGTGTCTGAAGATGGAAGGCACTCATACTACAACTGAGAGAGAGCTGCTTCCTCAAAGTAGAGTTGACCTTAATGACATGGATGGAGTAAAGCTTTCAGAACTTCATATGCTGGTGTAGCACAACTCAAAATGAGAACAAACACCTGCAAAAATCCATTAGTGATTAGAACATGGAATGTATGAAATATGAATCATAGGAAAGTTGGAAGTTGAACAAAAATGAAATGGAACACTCGAAGATCAATATCCTAGGTGCTAATGAGCTGAAATGGACTGGTATTGACCATTTGGAAAAAGAAAATCATGTGGTCTACTATGCTGGGGATGACAAATTGTAGAGGAAAAGTGTCACATTAATTGTCAAGAGGAACATTTCAAGATCTGTCTTGAAGTACAATGCTGTCAGAGATAGTATAATATCCATAGTCCTACAAGGAAGACCAATTATTATGAGTATTGCTCAGGTTTACACACCAAGCACTAAAGACAAAGATGAAGAAATTGACATTTTTACCAATTCCTGCATTCTAAAATTGACCAAACATGCAATCAAAATGCATTGATAATTATTGGTGATTCAGATGCAGAAGTTGGAAACAAAGAAGCATCATAGCTGGAAAATGTGGCCTTGGCGAGAGATATGGCACCAGAGATCACTGATAGAATTTTGAAATACCAATGACTTATTCATTGCAAATACTTTTTTCAACAATATAAATGGTGATGATACACAGGAACCTTGCCAGATGCAATACACAGGAATTAAATCAACTACATCTCTGGAAAGATATGATGGAGAAGCTCAATATCATCAGTCTGAACAAAGCTGGGAGCTGAACAGACTATCAACTGCTTATATGCAAGTTCAAGTTGAAGCTGAAGATAATTAAAACGAGTCCATGACAGCCAAAACATGACCTTGATTATTTACCACCTGAATTTAGAGACCATCTGAAAAATGGATTTGATGCATTAAACACCAATGACTGAAGACTGGAAGAGTTGTGGGACAACATTAAAGACATCATACATGAAGAAAGCAAAAGGTCATTAAAAAGACAGGAAAGAAAGAAAAGACCAAAACGTATGTCAGACGAGCCTCTGAAACTTGCTTTTGAATGGAGATTTACTAAAGCAAATGGAAGAAATGATGACATAAAAGTGCGAACAGAAGATTTCAAAGGGCAGCTGGACGAGACAGAGTAAAGTATTATAATGAAAGGTGCAAAGACTTAGAGTTAGAAAATCAAAAGAGAAGAACACCCTTGGCATTTCTTAAGCTGAAAAATTGGAAGAAAAAATTCAAGGCTTGAGTTGCATTATTGAAGGGTTCTATGGGTAGGAAGCATCAAAAGATGGAAGGCATAAAGTTACTTTTCCAAAAAGAATTGGTCAACATTCAACCATTTCAAGAGGTAGCATGCGATCAAGAACCTATGGTATTGAAGAAAGAAATCCAAGTTGCACTGAAAGCACTGGTTAAAAAGAAGAAGAAGAATTGACAGAATACTAGTGGAGATGTTTCAACAAATGGATACAACAGTGGAAGCACTCACTCATCTATGTCAAGAAATTTGGAAGACAGCCACCTAGCTAACCAACTAGAAGAGATCCATATTTGTGCCCTTCCCAAAGAAAGATGATCCTAGAGAATGCAGAAATTATCTAACAATTTTATTAATATAACACAATAAAAAATTGCTGAAAATAAATAAAAAGTGGTTACAGCCTCACATCTATAGACAACTACCAGGAATTCCAGCCAGATTCAGAAAGAGACATGGAATGAAGAATATCATTCCTGGTGTTACATGGATCTTGGCTAAAAGCAGAGAATGCCAGAAAGATGTTTACCTATGTTTTAGTGACTGTGAAAAGGCATTTGGATCATAACAAATTATGGATAACAATCCAAAGAATGGAAATTTCAAAGCACTTAATTGTGCTCATGAGAAACCTGTACATAGTCCAAGAGGCAGTCATTTGAAGAGAACAAGGTAATACTGCATTGCTTAAAATCAGAAAAGGTGTGTATCAGGGTTGTATCCTTTCAGCATACTTATTCAATCTGTATGCTGAGTGAATAATCCAAGATGGACTATATGAAGAAGAAAGAACATGGCATCAGAATTTGGAGGAAGAATCATAAACAACCTGCAATACACAGATGACACAACCTTTCTTGCAGAAAGTAAAGATGACTTGAAGCACTTACTGATGAAGATGAAAGACTCCAGCCTTCAGTATGGATTACACCTCAACATAAAGAAAACAAAAATCCTCACAACTGGACCAACAAGCAATATCATGAGAAATGGAGAAAAGATTGAAGTTGTCAAAGATACCATTTTACTTGGATCCTCAACAACACCCATGGAAACAGCAATCTAGAAACCAACATACTGCACTGGGCAAATCTGCTGCAAAAAAACCTCCTTAAAGTGTTAAAGAGCAAAGATGTCACTTTGAAGACTGAAGAGTCCCTGACCCAAGTCATAACATTGTCAATCACCTCATATGTGTGTGAAAGTTCAACAGTGAATAAAGAAGACCAGAGAAGAATTGATGCATTTGAATTACAGTGTTGGTGAAGAATACTGACTATACCATGAACTGTCAGAAGAACGAACAAATCTACCTTGGAAGAAGTACAGCCAGAATGCTCCTTAGAAGGGAGGATGGCGAAACTTCATCTTTCACACTTTGGTCATGTTCTCAGGAGGGACCATTCACTGAAGAAGGATATCATGCTTGGTAAAGTAGAGGGTCAGCAAAAAAGAGGAAGACCCTCAATGAGATGGATAAACACAGTGGCTGCAACAATGGGGTTAACCATAGCAACAATTGTGCAGACGGCATGGACCAGGCAGTGTTTCTTTCTGATGTACACAGGGTCATTATGACTGACTCAATGGTACCTGACAAACAACTGGTTCAACCAGGGTGGTAGAGCCACTGATGTTATGCAGAAAGGAATGTGTAACAGGAATAAGACATCATACAATTGTATGATGAGTATGATCTGTAAAGCATGAAGGAAAGATCCAGAAAGGAAAATTAAAGAAAGCAATGACCAGGCCTCCTGAAGCCTTGGTGGGTGAGATAGAGCTTGCAGGGGGGTCCAGGAAGTCAGCCATATCCAGCTGCTGGATGTGACCACCAAGGGGAGCGAATGAGACAGTCTGTGGAATGACTCTATTCAGAAAACTTCTGTAAGTCAGTCAAGGCTCTGGGGACAGGCGTGGTGTGATGTTGGTCAGCAAAGCTGGCAGTCAGGAAGAACTAGACATGGACAGAGAGACATACAGGAGACATATGTAAGGACATACAGGAATCCACTGGACAGACACCACCATGTCTGTCCTTCCCACATCTGTCCCCAAAAACTATCAGAGTGAACAACTGCCACTTCACTTCTGCCTTTCCAATTCTGTATGGCTTCACTGTGGGCCATCTCTGCCCTGCCCCTGTAAAGGGAAAGGGAGTCTGAGAAACAGAGGTCCAGCTTAACCAGGTTAACAGTTAAAGAACCCAGCACAACTACCCTCTGTGTCTACAAAATGATGTACTCTGGTGATCATTCTTAGTCCATGTGTTCTAGGAACTGAGTAGGCACATCACATGCACTTGCCATGTGCTTGAAGTAACTTTGTCCTTATAGCTGATGGAGCCCTCTTCCTTAAAATGCAATGACTGTTTGCCTTCATGGTCTGGTATTTATCTTTGCATTTGCATTTGGATTTGTGTTTCCTATGCATACAGTGGCCCTCATTGCTTCACTATCTCTGAGATCACCGTAGGCCTCCACCGCTATATACATGTGCTCCTTCAGTCAACCTTTGCATTCAGTACTCATTTATTTTGTGCCTTCCCTGGGCCTGGCATGTCCTGGGTGTTGGAGAGACTAGGCTGTGCAGAGAACCAGCTGCTGCCTCTGTCCTATGGAGCTTCTGTTCCAGTGGGAAAGGTGACTGTTAATCAGAGAGTCATTGAAGTGAGTGTCTAATTACAAACTGTGGTTACATTTGAAGGAAGGCAGCAGATGGAATTAGAAAACACCACAGTGAAAAATGATTGCTCTGGGGGTGGGTGGTATTAGGGCTGGATTCCAAGAAGAAGTGACCTTTGAATCCATGTCTGGACGAGGCACAGAAGGTCAGGAGGACAGATGGACATGTGGGGAGAGTGGTCCAGGAAGAGGGAGCAGCACAGCAAGGCCCAAGGCAGGAAGGGTTTGATGTACTGAGGAACTCAATGAGGCCAATATGGTGAGGAGAGAGGAGAGGAGAGGAAACTGTGCCTGAAAATGAGATGGGGCAAGGTTTCAGGTAGGGTAGGTCAGATGAGGAGTTGACACTCTGTCTTGAGCACTGTGGGCAGTTGTTACAGGGTTTCTTGGTGAGATTGAGGCAGATGAGGACAGGACTGAATCTGGGAGATCCCTCTTGTTGCTGCATGGAGATGGAACATGGTAGGAAATGTGCAAGAGGCTTTGGCCTTCAACTAATCTCTGGGCCAGTATGCAAAATGGAAGGGTTCCTCTAGATCTATGGTTCTCCACCTTTCCCCATGTGCCCAGACCCTCATGGATGACTGCTTACATCAGTGAGGGTGTTACAATTAGAATCACAGTCTGCCCACCACAGCATGACCTGGGGTGGCCTATGGATGTGGCTGGCCTTGCAGAGTCCTGGGTAGGCAACTGGATGTCAGTGAATGCTCAGACTTAAAGAACATTTAGATATGCTCTTTTATCATTTCTCCAGTTATAGGAGGGTTCCCTCTCCACCCCTGGAGACCCCACTTGGGGAAGGATCTCCTCTCCCCTGGAGACACCACTTTTAGGGTGTGTTCCCATAAACCCAGGTTATGGGTTTGGTTGGTGCTTGAAGGGAAGATGTGCTTTGTCCTAGTTAAAGCTTTCCAAATAGAAGAAGGGTGGCCTCCTGGGGGTGACCTCCTCGTTGCAGAGGTTACACTTCTGTAGGATAATTTGTAAAGGATAGTATAAAATAGTTGAAACAAAAATGTTCAGGGAAGGAAGAAGGGAGAGAAGAAAGAGGGGAAGTGGATGTAATGAGTTTCATTTGACAGATGAGGAAAAAGTCAGCACATTGGTACATAGTTTGGACAGAGGCAGGGCTGACTCTTTGAAGAATGGATCTTGAGAGCAGGCGAGGCTGTGTAACTGAGTCAATCTCCTGCCCCTCCACCCTTGACTAGGTTGGCGGATCTCATGGAGCAGCACCAGGAAGAGTTGGCCACCATTGAGTCTCTGGATGCAGGTGCTGTCTACACGCTGGCCCTGAAGACCCATGTGGGCATGTCCATCCAGACCTTCCGCTACTTTGCTGGCTGGTGTGACAAGATCCAGGTGGAGCCCAGCTTCTTCCCACCCAAGGGTGCTGTGCAGCAGGGTTAAGCCCTTGGGAGGAGAGACTGCAAAGGGCAGTGTATGAGCTTCCTACTGCTTCTGTACAAATTACTGCACAATGGGGCTTAATATGTTGTTGTTGTTATAAAGTGCCATTGAATCAGGTCCAACTCATAGCAACACTATGTACAACAGAATGAAATGCTGCCCATTCTTGAGCCATCCTCCAGTCATTGGTAGCTTATGGCTTAATACAGCACCCATTTATTATCTCACAGTTCTGCAAGTCAGAAGTTCAGGCAGGCTTGGAGGGCTATTTGCTGGCTGGTGTGAAAAGATCCAGGTGGAGCCCAGCTTCTTCCCAGCTGGGGGAGCTGTGCAGCAGGGTTAAGCCCTTGGGAGGGGAGATTGCAAAGGGCAGTGTATGAGCTGAACAAGAGCAAAACCAAGTTGTCTACCTCTGGGCTCTTATGTAGAGGTTCTGGGAAAGAATCTGCTTCCAAGCTCATTGAGGTGTTGGTAGAGTTCAGTCCTTTGTGGTTGTAGGGCTGAGGTTCTGTTTCTTTGCTTACTATCCACTGGGATCTTTTGAGTCCTTACATGTGATTCCCAACCCTCCCCACCCTTGGGCTTTGAATCTGTCTGACTTCCTTTTCTACCACCAACTGGGGAAAACTCTGCTATTAAAGGAACTCATGCAATTTTATTAAGCCCACCAGAATCATCTCCCCATTTTAAGGTGTGATATGTTATCATATTCCCATGGTCTAGGAATTAGAGTGTGGAATTTTAAGGCCAGTTTTAGAATTTTCCACATTATAGGCAGTGATGGATAACCCATATTCAGGAAGGCCCACCATACCAGGGCTCACTGTGTCCCTGCCAGACATGAAGTCTAGAGGGTCACATTGGGAGCTGAGGAGGTACAGAGGTACAGTGAAGTGGTGTCTGCCCAGTTCTCCTCCTTATCCTGTTGCTGTGCATCTGGACTCCTGGCACTGCCAGTAGAGCTGGCCTCTGCCCTGGACCTCCTCAGCCAGAAGAGCTGCTCATAGTTTCAGCAGGAGCTCTGCTTACCTGTGCCCCACCCCTGCACCCTTTCTCTGCCCAAATCCCAAAGTTAGAGAGGACTTTCCAATACCAGGACCCACTTGCTACCTAAGGGATCCATCTGCCAAGCTCAAAGAGAAGCAGGCCCTTTGTTCCTCCTGGCTGTATACTCTGCCATCTCCAAACTCCTCAGATTCCTACTGCCATATATGAGCTGGGTGCTTCTGGTCTCCTTCCTGCCTGGGTAATGAGAGTCAGGACACAAACAAGACCTTGCTCTTCCCTGGGCCCTAAGCAGAGAGGAGAGGGGGTTGGGGGGGGGTGGTGGTGGTGGTTTGGGGACGACAGTCCCTCCCCAGTGAGGATAGCTTTGTGCGTTTTGCAGGGTTCTACCATCCCCATCAACCAGGCCAGACCCAACCGCAACCTGACTTTGACCAAGAAGGAGCCTATTGGGTGAGTCACTACTGCATGCAGAAGCAACTGCTCACAGAGTCACACGTGGAGTTAACACAACCCTAAAGGGTGTTCCTAATGCCTCCTTTCTGCATATTTATCCAACAGCTTTTGATACCACTTACTGAGTGACAGACACCTCAGAGGAACAAAGCTGTTGAAAGTTTCTGTCCTTGGGAACTTACATGCTGGCAGATAAAATAGCTTTCACTTCTAAAGTACTTTCTCTGTGCCAGGCAGAAGTAGCCACTTTATAAGTACGATTTTATTTAATCCTCACAACAACCCTGTCTTAGTCAAGGTCATGGTGTTCCAGGGGTTTAGACAATGGGGATAACCAAAAAATAATTACCTGAAAAGACTGCAATGATCATTGCTCATCAAGTGAAGAGCTCCTAGAAATCAACAAGGAAAAAAAAACAAATCCAGTGATAAAGCAGGTGCATGCCATTAGCAGGTATCAAACAAAGGAGAAGTGCAGATGCCCCATACACATAAAAGGGACAGCCATCTTACCAGAGAGAGGGAAATTAAACTAAAGCCAACTATGAAAGGCTCTATTTCACTCATCAGATGTTCCCTAGGTGAAAAGGTCACTGTTACTAAGTGGCTGCAAAGGCAAAGAGAAACATGCCTCATACCTCTGTGGGAATGTGGTCGATACCTCCAGTTTTGACCCAGTCTCTAAATGTCCCCCCAAGGCAGCGGCTGTGTGATGACACATACGTGTGTGCACAAAGCAGGCCAAGAGTTTCTAACGCCACTTTGCCTGGCACAGGCAGCCAAAAGGAGAATACCCAGTGCCTAGCTCTGCTGCTGTCCACACTGTTATCCAGAGAAAGGAATGACATGGGCATTGTGTCGCCAAGAGAAATCCCTGAATGAGGAGAGCACTGGCCCCACCTTCAGAATACACATAAGCAAACACAGAGGAAAAGGTCTAGCAGGGGTGACCTCTGGGGAGGGAGGTCAGTGCAGGGACTGAGGCCCAGCCACGACGTCAGCGGAGATTTTACATCTCAGTGGACAGTGGTCAAAGGCATCCCCTCCTTTTATCTTTAATACTGAGTGGCCTATATGGAGGATGTGTTCAAAGATTACATGTATCATTAAACTACAGTACATATGAGCAAGCCAAGCCCTTAAGGAAGGGCCTGCTGGTGTGTGGAGTTTCCTCCTCTGAAGAGTGTGGGATGAGGACAAAGGAAACCTTAACCCACAGGGAGGAACCATGCCAAACATGGAGGACATTATCTCTGGAGCAGCCTTCTCAACTGGGGCCACCTTCTGCCCAAGGATATTTGGCAAAATCTGGAGTTACTTTTGATTCTCACATGCTGGGAGGGGGTGCTATAGGACAGACCCCCACTACAAGAGGCCATCAGTGGCAAGGTTGAGAACCCTGCTCTAGAGTAGTATGCCTGGAGACCCTACCTCACTCCCAGGCTCAAGAGGATCTGGTCAGTATGATAGGATGGACTCTGGCCCACCTTAGGCCATCAGCCTGAGCCAGCTGAGATTTAGCCCTGCTGCTTCCTGACTGCTCCAGCCACACTGGGCTTTGGGTTATTCCTATGCATTCTCTCCCCTTGGCCTGTACCATCCACCACTAGAACTCTACAGGGCTGGCAACTTGTCACTGAAGTCTCAGCTCACAGGGCCTGTGCTGACCACTCAATCAAAGCCAAATCCCCACTGCTACCAGTATACTTTTCATTCCACCATCTCCTTTTGTCTTCTGTATGACCCAAGCAGCCAGGCATTATCCTGCTGTCTTCCTGTGCTTAGAACACTCCTTGCACACACCAAGAGTCCCATAAGTATGAGTGAGTGACAGCTCTCTGGTGTGTATTCTCTTCTCCCAACTTAATGCATAAGAACACAGGTACAACATAGTACCTCGAGGGAGGGTTCTGAGCTCACCCTCTTGACTGAAGACTGTCCTGATGTCCTCTGTTACCCTTTTATGCTCCCTCTCCTGAGCCTGCATTAGAGAGTGTCACTGCCACACAGAACTGAGGACACCCAGGACTGAGCTCCTGACTGCAGGCAAGTGCAGGGCTGAGCAGGATTTACTTCCTTGTCCTGGCTTGATATGCTGGTGAGCCAAAGAGGTTTCGGACCAAGAAAAGGCCCAGAGAACAGTAGCTGCAGTAGGTTAATGAGTAATGAAAGCCATTGCATGACAGCCTAAGCAAAACAACAACAAAAATGTTGACATTGAATGGGCTCTGACTTACGGTGACCCCATGTGTGTCAGAGTAGAACTGTGTTCCATGGGGTGGCTTTTCTGAAGTAGATTGCCAGGTCTTTCATCTAACACCTCAGGGATGACTAGAACCTCCAGGCTTTCAGTTAGCAAGTGAGCATATTAGCCATTTCCACCACCCAGAAACTCCCATGGCAGCCTGGCCAGGTTTGATTCCTCTATTCCCTGTATCTCACACCCTACTGGGTCTGGGCCCTATGCCAGGGAATGCTTTCCAGATTCAGGTGGCTCAGCCCCTGACCCACATTAATGGGACTTGTCTGAATGATTTTCTTTCTTCACTTTTCTTTTTATTGTGATTTGGGTGAAAAGTTACATAGCAAATTGGTTTTCCACTCATAACAGGTTGTGGTTCTTGACACTGATTTTAGTCCCCGCAATGTAACAGAGTTCTTCCCACATCCTCCCTGTATTTGCTGTTTCCATTAGTCCTTCTTTCCTATCTCTTTCTGGCTTCAGAATGTTGTTGTTAGATGCCATCTAATTGGCTCTAACTCATAGTGACCCCATGTACAACAGAAGGAAACACTGCCCAGTCCTACATCATCCTCACAATATTTGCTGTGCTTGAACCCGTTGTCACAGCCACTGTATCAATCCATCTCATTGAGGGTCTTCCCCTTTTTCACTGACCTTCTACTTTACCAAGCACGACATCCTTCTCCAGGGACATGGCCCTTCTGACAGTATGACCAAAGCATGTGAGACAAAGTCTAGCCATTTTTGCTTCTAAGGAGCATTCTGGATGCACTTTTTCCAAGATAGATTTGTTCATTCTGCTGACAGTCTGTGGTATTTTCAGTATTCTTCACCAACACTACAATTACAATGCATCAGTTCTTCTTTGGTCTTCCTTATTCATTGTCAATGCATATGAGGCTATTGATAATAGCATGGCTTGTGTCATGTACACCTTAGTCTTCGAAGTGGCATCTTCCAGCTTCTCAGATTATTTGCTCAGCATACAGATTGAATAAGTATGGTGAAAGGACACAACCCTGACACATACCTTTCCTGATTTTAAACCATTCAGTGTCCTCTTGTTCTGTTCGAATGACTGCCTCTTCATCTTGGTCTATCTACAGGTTCCTCATGAGCACAATAAATGTTCTGAAATTCCCATTCTTTGCAATGTTATCCATAATTTGTTATAATCCACACAGTTGAATGCCTTTCCATAGTCAATAAAACACAGGTACACATCTCTCTGATATTCTTTGCTTTCTTGTTATAATTCACACAGTTGAATGCCTTTCCATAGTCAATAAAACACAGGTACACATCTCTCTGGTTTTCTTTGCTTTCAGTCAAGATCCATCTGACATCAGCAATGATATCATTCACTCCCTCTTCTGAATCCAGCTTGCATTTCTGGAATTTCCCTGTTGATGTACTGCTGCAACCATTTTTTAAATTATATTCAGCAAGACTTGAGTGTGATATTAATGATATTGTTAGATAATTTTGACATTCAGTTGAATCATCTTTCTTTGGAATGGGCCTAAATATGGATCTTTTCCAGTCAGTTGGCCAGGTAGTTGTCTTCCAAATTTTCTGTCATAGGCACGTAACCACTTCCAGAGCTGCATCCATTTGTTGAAATGTTTCAATGGGTATTCCATCAATTCCTCAAGCCTTGTTTTTTGCCAGTTCCTTCAGTGCAGCTTGGACTTCTCCCTTCAGCACTGGATCACTATGCTACCTCCTGAAATAACTGAAGGTCGACCAATTCTTTTTGGTCCAGTGACTCTGTGTATCCCTTCCATCTTCTTTTCATGCTTCCTGTATCATTCAATATTTTGCCCATAGAATCCTTTAATATTGCAATTTGAGGCTTGAGTTTTTTCTTAAGTTCTTTCAGCTTGAGAAATGCTGAGCAAGTTCTTTTCTTTCGATTTTCTAACTTTCTAACTCCAGGTCTTTGTGCATTTCATTATAATACTGTATTCTGTCTTCTTGAGCCAGCCTTTGAAATCACTCATTCAGCTCTTTTATTTCTTACATTTGCTTTATGTACTCTCCATTCAAAAGCAAGTTTCAGAGTCACTTCTGACATGTATTTTAGTCTTTTTGTCTTTTCCTGTCTTTTTAATGACATTTTGCTTTCTTCATGTGTGATGTTCCTGATGTCATCCCACATCCTTTCTGGTCTTCAGTCACTGGTGTTCAAAGCATCAAATCTATTCTTTAGATGGTCTCCAAATTCTATTTGGATATACTCAAGGTCGTATTTTGGCTCTTGTGGACATGTTTTAATTTTCTTCACCTTCAACTTGAACTTGTATGTAAACAATTGATGCCTTGTTCCATAGTCAGCTCCTGGCCTTGTTTTGGCTGAAGATATTGAGCTTTGCCATTGCCTCTTCCCACAGATTCAGTTGATTTGATTCCTCTGTATTCCATCTGATGAAGTCCATGTGTATAGCCACCATTTATGGTGTTGGTGTTGAAAATAAGGTATTTGCAATGAATAAATCCTTGGTCTTGCAAAATTCTATTATACTATCTCCAGAGTCATTTCTATTACCAAGGCCATATTTTCCAACTACTGATGCTTTTTTGTTTGTATCCCAATCACCAGCAATAATCAATACATCTTGATTGCATGTTTGGTCAATTTCAGACTACAGAAACTGCTTAAAATCTTCGATTTCTTCATCTTTTGTTTTGGTGGTTGATGTGTAAATTTGAATGATAGTCTTATTAACTAGTCTTCCTTGTAGGTGTATGGATATTATCCTATCACTGACAGCATTGTACTTCAGGATAGATCTTCTTTTCAACAATGAATGGAATGCCATTCTTCTTCAATTTATCATCCCCAGTATAGTAGACCATATGATTGTCTGATTCAAAATGACCAATACCAGTCCATTTCAGTTCACTAATGTCTAAAATATTGATCTTTCTGCATCCTGTTTCAATTTTGACAACTTCCAATTTTCCTAAATCCATACTTCATACATTCCTTGCTCTGATTATTAAATAAGGTTTGCAACTGTTTCTTCCCATTTTGAGTCATACCCCATCAGCAAATGAAAGTACCAAAAGCTTTACTCTATCCACATCATTAAGGATGACTCTACTATGAGTAGGCAGCTCTTCCCCAGTCATATTTTGAGTGCTTTCTGACCTGAGGGGCTCATCTGCTGGCACAGTATCAGACAAGGTTCATAGCTCTTCATAAAGTTTTCCAGTAATAAGTCAGGCAGTGTTTCACTGCTATTCATAAGGTTTTCAGTGGCCAATTCTTGCAGAAGTAGATGGCCCCATCCTTCTTTCAGTTCTCTTAGTCTGGAAGCTCTGCTGAAACCTTTCCACCATGGGTAACCCTGCTGGTATTCAAAATACCAGTGACATAGTCTCCAGCCTTACAGCAACACAAAAGGCACCACAGTATGAAAAACTGACAGACGAGTGGTGGTGATAAGGTAGAGAGGGTCAGTGAAAAAGGGGAAGACCCTCAATGAGATAGATTCTTATAGTGGCTATGATGATGCACTCAAGAATAGCAAGTATTGTGAGAATAATGCAGAACTAGGCAGTGTTTTGCTCTGTTGTACATGGGGTCACTATGAATCAGAGCCATTCAGTGGTACCTAACAACAACAACAACAAGAAATTTGCCCCTATTTCTTCTTTTATGATCTTTATGGTTTTAGGTTTTATCTTTATGTCTTTGTTTCATCCTGAGTTAGTTTTTGTGTATGATGAGAAATTTGGATACTGTTTCATTTTCCTGCAAATGGATATGCAGTTTTACCGGCATCTTTTGTTAACAGACTATACTGTCTCTTGCCCAAGTAATGGTTTTCAGTACTTTGGTTATGCCCTCTTGATAGATTGACTCTTTAATCATTATATAATGTCCTTCCTTATCTCTTATGGTGATTTTGTCTTAAAGTCTATTTTATCAGAAATTAATATTGCCACTTCTGCTCTTTTTTGGTGTAATTTGCTTGATCTGTTCTTTTCTATCCTTTGATCTTGAGCTTGTTAGTGTTTTTGTGTCTGAGGTGTGTCTCTTGTAGACAGTGTATTGATGGGTCATATTGTCCTATCCACTCTGCTACTCTTTGCCTCTTGATTGGTGCATTTACATTCAGTGTGGTTATTGATGTATATAAATGTACTGCTGTCATTTTGCTTTTTTTGTATGTGTGTGGTTATTAACGTTTTTTTGTACCGTATCTTTTTCTGTACTGAGTTCATTTTGTTTATGGATTTTCTTATCATTTCCTTCATTGCTGTCAGTTTAGTGTTTAGTGAATCTTTATGATGTTCTTCCTTTTTTTCTTTTTGGTGAAAAGGTTTATTCATCTTCTTTGAGATTACCTTGTAATTTATTATTTTCTTCTGAATTTTAAAACTGTCTCTTCTATCTTTATATTGACATGACTTCTTCTCCATTTGCACATTCTGTTGCTATACCATTTATTCCCACTTTTTGCATTGTAGTTGTCATCATATACAAATGGACATGTCTGGTTCCCGATTTTCAATCTTGTGGGTTTATTTTACTTTCAATATACCTGTATCTGGGATAATTTCCGGTTGATGTTGTGTGTCTTCATATCAGGTTGTTGTCTGCCATTGTTGGTTCTCTGCTCAACAGACTCTCATCAGCTTTTCTTGTATGGTTGGTCTGGTTTTCATACATTCCCTTAATTTCTGTTTATCTGGAAATGTACTAATTGTGCCATTGTATTGAGGGACAGTTTTGCTAGATATATTATTCTTCTCTGGCAATTTCTTCTCTTTCTGGGTTTTCTATATATCCCACCATTGCCTTCTTGCCTTCATGGTTTCTGCCAAGAAATCAGATTTAGTCTTATTGGCTCTCCTTTGTAGGAGAATTTTTGTTTTTCCAGAGCTGCTTTCAGGATTCTTTATTTGTCTTTGGCTTTGGGAAGTTTGATTATGATATGTCTTGGTGATTTTCCTTTGGAGCCTACCCTATTTGGGATTTGTTAAGCTTCTTGAATGAATATTTTCTTGTCTTTCATGATAGGGAAGTTTTCTTCCAACATCTTCAACAACTCTCTTGGTGCTTTTCTTTTGATCTCTTCCTATTCTGGAATTCCAGTCAAATGAAATTTATTCCTCTTTATGGTGTCCCAGAAGGAAGACTGGGAAGTCTACTTCCTTAAAGATTAACCTTGGAATCTTAAAGATAAGCCTTCAAGCCCAATGGAAGTCACTATGAGTCAGAATTGACTTGATGGCATTGGGTTTGCTTTGGGGTTTTAGTTTACATAATTCTTAGTCTTTCTTCATTTTTTTCTGATTGTTCCTCTAACAGATTAGTATTAAGAAATTTGTCTTAATACTATTTGTTTTTAATTTGTTTTGATTTTACTAATTCTGTCTTCCATTAATTCAATTCTACTCTTTTGTCCTTCCAATGTGTTACCAATTTCTAATTTTAGTATTAATTACCTAGATTTCTATCTCCTGTTTATGTATGGTTCCTAGTTTTTCATTTATTTTGCTGACTTGTTCTTGTATTGTTTTCCTGAATTCTTCTAGAGTTTAGTCTTTTTCTGACCTAAATTTTGTCTATGATTTTCTTGATGTTTTATTTCCCTTGCTCTCTTTCCTAATCTATTTAAAAACCTAAGTATATATGTGGGAGCTCTGATAGCGTAGTGGCTAAGGCACTTGACTGCTAACCAGAAGGGTGGCGTTCAAACCCACCAGCCACTCCTCAGAAGGAAGGTTGGGCAATCCTACTTCCATAGTGATACTGCCTCGAAAACCCAAGGAGGGGTCGCTATGAGTCAGGGCTGACTCAACGGCACATAACAACATCAACAACAAGTATATATGTTTCAAATTCTTTATCAGGTAGTTCCAGTCACATTTCTTGCTCTGGAAGATTTTCTTGCCCTGTACTTTGGTCACTTTTTAGAGCCATCTCATCCTGTTTTTGTTGTTGTTGTTTGTTTGTTTGATTTGAAATTGTTGGTTGTCTCCAAGTCATTGTGGCATTATTGTATTAATTTGTTGATTATGTATTGGTTTGCTTCACCTTAACTTTTTGTTTTGTATTGTTTTAATATACCCAGGCAATGAGGAGAGTGTGGTACTCTAGTTACTAGTTTGGCAGCACTGGGGTGCTCACTACCTGTCTCCAGCTGAATTTGATACCAGTTGGGACTGTGAGCACAAGTCTCTAACTGCTGGTAGTGTACAGAAGCTGAAGACAGTCTGAGTGGGTGTTGGCTACTGTCTGTCATCAATCCAGTAGTGCTGGAGCAAGTGGTGGCATTTGCCCAGTGAGTGGCATGGCGGGTATGGTGAGTATGATTAGGTAGAGTCACTGACTCCTGACTTATGGGAAAGGAAAAAGGGAAGAGAAATAAAAAATAGAAAAGACAAAAAAACAAAGAGAGGAAAATCAAACTGGACTAAGAAGAAAGAAACAAAAAGGAAAAAGAGAAAGAAGAAAAAGAAAAGTGCAGTACTGGTGCATGCACTAGCTGCAAAACATGGCTGCAACCATTTAACCGTTAGATCCCCCCAGCCCCTGGGACTATGATAGGGACTCTCTTCTACTCCATAATGCTCAGAGTAGGAGACCCACACAACACAGAGAGGGGCTGCCTCTGACACCGGGGTTGGATCTGGAAGATGGGTGCATCTCTCATTGCAAATGGAGCCAGAGATACCAGTTTTCTGAGCCGACTCCATTTCTCTTCTCCATATGAGTGACCCCTGCCTTCACCCCCAGGAGAACCCCTGCCATGCCTGCCTGGTCAGTCTATATAACTCCTGACCTTCTTTGTCATTCTGGTGGCATAGTGCCTGAGGCATTTGACTGCTAACCAGAAGGCTGGTGTTTCAAACCCGCCAGCCACTACCCAGAAGAAAGATTAGGCAATCTACTTCCGTAAAGATACTGCCTCAGAAACCCAAGGAGGAATCGCTAAGAGTCAAATCAACTTGACTGCAGTGAGTTTTTTTTTTTCCTCCCTTCCTCATGCTAGCCTACTACTCACCCTCCCTCATCTTGCTTGGTGCAGCACTACCAAGCTGTACCCCTAGGCAGGTCTTACCAACTCCAGGAGAAACTACCTGTTCAATGTCCTATGCCATCATGCCCTACTAGGAGAGGAGTTTCTGCCAGACTAAGTCATACAAAAATGTCAGAGACTTGAAAAGACAGGAATGAGTGGCCTGTTGTGGGCCTTTGGCTCTGAGGGTGGGTTGTCTGCCCTGGGAGAGGAGGAGATAATGAGCTGAGTGAAGAGACAGAGGTCTACTTCTGTTGTATGGCAGAGTCTGTGGCATTATCATCCCGTGGAACTACCCCCTAATGATGCTCTCCTGGAAGACTGCTCCCTGTCTGGCAGCCGGGAACACTGTGGTGATCAAGCCTGCCCAGGTGAGTCTGGACCATCTGGACAGGGTCCAGTTTGGTAAAGTATTAGGAACTTACCCTAAAAAGGGAGAACAAAAGGGTCCTTCTGGTCCTTCTGCCTACCTTGGTACTGGTTTATCCCTAATAGGTGATGAGAACTACTGATCAGAGCTAGCTTTCCCAGTAGCAATCAAGACAGTGGTTAGAAGTTACCTATTGCCATCGAGTCTGTTCCTACTCAAAGGGACCCTATAGGGTTTCAAGGCTGTAAATATTTACAGAAGCAGCCTACCACATCTTTCTGGATGCTGGTGGGTTCGAACCACCAACCATTGGATTAGTAGTCGACCACTTTAACTGCTGCACCACCATGCTCCTTGATTAAAAGTTAGGGATATCTATATGCAGTGGTTTTCCTGCCTTAGAGGCTGAGATTAGCTAGTCACCTTTGTCCCGTGCCTACTTAGACAGGTAGAGGTAAAGGTTCTTTCACATATCCCAGCACTCCTGATTTGAGAGAGTAGAGCCCTGCCTGGTGTACTTGCCTGGACACATGCTCTTAGACAGCCTGAAGTATTCTGTTCTTAGGAACACCCACCTGCTGAGAGCAGGTCTGAGCATACCCAGAACCAATACCCTACAAAGTCAGCCATCCAGTCTGAAGGCCTTGGGATGGGGTGGGGGGAAGGTACAACTAGCCTTTACAGTGAAATATGCATGGGCATATGGAAGCCAGAGAGAAATATTGTTGGGTGGTTTGAGTAGCAGGGTAACAACTTCCCTTTTGTTTAGATGTCTAAGAGTAGTAAGAATCACTTTGAGGGAAAGCCAGCCCTGCCTCGTCACTGTGGGTGCTCTTAACCCCATGGGTGGAAACAGCTAAGGCAGCACCCACTTCCCTAGGGCCTCATCTTGCACTAGGGCACTGGAAATTCTCAAAATAGAAGTCTGACTTTTCCGAGAGAGGGGGAAGAAGCAGCATGCTGTAGGATGGCAGCCTTCTGAGCCCTGCCAGGGCTTGATGTTAGCTGATGAAGAAGTAATAAATACGATGAAGGAAGAAGCTAAGGCCTGGACAAAGGGCTGGAGTCCTATGAGAAGAAAGAAGCTAGAAAGGCACCCAAGATCATCTGCCCTTTGCCCCAGCTCCCAGTGGGAGCCATGGGCAAAGCTAACTGGTTTGGCAGTGCCACAGTCTAGTGGGACATGGGCATGCCTTCTCTGGGCTGCTCTCAGGCCCACAATCCACAGATGCTCCTCCTTGCGTGCTACTGAGGCTGGTGGGAGAAGACTGGCCAGGAAGGGAAGGGAGAGCTCCACTTCCAAATCAATTTCTTCTTACCCTATCTTCTTTCTTTTTACTTTTCCCAGGTGACCCCACTCACAGCCTTGAAGTTTGGAGAGTTGGCAGTGAAGGCTGGCATCCCCAAGGGTGTGATCAACATCCTCCCAGGATCTGGTAAAGGCTATGGATGAGAGCATGGGCATCTGGAAAAGCTAGGGCTCTAGACAAAGGAAGGTGCACTTGATGAGAACAGGCCTGTAACCTGGTGTAAAACCAGTGGGGTTTAGCCAACCTGGTAGTGAAGAAGGGCCTTTTCCATGGTGGGGAAAAATCTCCTTCCGTAAATATTTCTCATTTTTTGTATGCATGCCTGTGCTCTGGAATAAATTACGTATCTTTGGAATAATATTCCCTTGATATATTGAGAGGATTTATTTGTAGAGCATTCTTGGCTCAGAGCATTTGGAAAGGTAACATATTAATTCCTTTTACAGTTTCTTCTATGTTTAATGGTACAGTTTATTATAAAAATTGTCCTTTATTCTGAAGATATTAAATATATTGGCATAGAGAGTTATACAATAATTTTTTTTCTCTTTTTTTTTTTCTTTTTTAATTGTGATTTGGGTGAAGATTTACAGAGCAAATTCACTTTCCATACAGGAGTTTACATATACTTTGTCT